ATTTGTGTAAGATTAACACATGGGCGATATGTGTTGATATCTAATGGATCTGTTACATTAGCTAGAAAACAAGGAAACTCTATTGATACATTACACTTGTTCATGAATGGCTGCATTTTTGCATATTCTTTTTGACATTTGGTACTACGTTTTTTGAAGTCAGATAGACGTATATTATGAGAAAGACGTTGAGAATTAAGGTCTATTGCTTGTTCATCTGAAGCATCCGGACAATCCCATTCTCCATCACATAGCCAGTCTATTGGTATGCATTGGCCTGTTTGACACTGATACTGATGACGATGACATATCCATTTATTACAGTGCTCTGGTAGTTCATCAAAATGTAATTGGAAATTCCAGATAGTATCACAATATGAATTGAATGGAAACGTCATTTTCTGTAGCATATCATCTGAAGAAGTATTTGTGATGTTGCTACGAGAATGATGATCACTATATTCTTTCAAAAAATGACAACCATCAGTATCTTGCTGTTGACATTTGACTTCAGAAAGTGCATCACCTAGACCCTCAATAAATTCATCATGTCCATTTTTGCAGTCTTCCCATTTGTTACCAATTCCTGTGACTGATAAGCAAGCTAATGCCCCATCGTCACATTGAAATCGGTGTTTTTCAACATTTGCACACAAACCTCGATTGATTATAGAATCGATCTCCTTTTCGCCGCAATCAGAATATTCATCACCTATTCTATATTGTGAAATACATTCATGTGATTCAGTGCAAATATCAAAAAATGCATATTGTCGCCCATTCCATGTACGTGATTCATTCCAACATGATTTATGATACTGTATAGATGATTCATGATCGCGAACAATATTTTCATTATTACAAAAAATGAAATCAATCAATGGAAATCCTGTAAGTTTGTAGAGATCCTTTTCATCAAGTAATATTTTTCCTTCTGTTCTACCATAAAATCCTCGACATTTAATACTACCCTCTAGATAAATTACAGACGGCTGCTTATCGCTCCACAATTGATCCCATCTATAATATCGGTTGATATATGGTCGGATCAAAGATCCATCCGGATATCTATATTCAGAACCTGTTTCGCATACATCACCCATTACTGCCGAACAGTTTTGGCCATCACAAGGACAATCTCGCTCGAATCCTTCAGATAATGCACATCGAATCAAATAGATACATTTTGAAGTGTTCGTTAAATTTTCATTATTCATATCATGTGAGTCATTAAATCCTACTAGATCCCAACATAACCCATTCGGTCGTGTCCAAAGTCGTTCTACTGGATGAATTTCACACATATAATTAAATTCACGCATACTTTCACAGTAACTATATATGAATCCCATATCACTTAAACGATAAAAACCCCTAAGACATTGTCCATCACCACAAGACCATCGACTACGAATACAGACACTTTCTTCACATTCAATAGAACCTGGTGCATGAGGACAAAACACATCATCGGCATTAACAGTTTCATCGGTTCGATCCATACAATCTAACTCACCTATTAGAGAAAACAACATAAACTTTATTTCAGTTTTCATTAAAGAAAAACTACACTTAGAATAGCAATAGTGTCTCAGTATAGTCAATATCATTCGTTATTTGAAAATGTTCTATAAATGAATCTGTCAAAACAGAGACATTATTCTAATAGTCTAACAATCGATCATGATAAGAATGAGATAGTTTCACTTACCATCAAGCCAATATTGTTCATTGATACACATTCCATTTGCACATCGATATTCATCATCCTCACACTCGTTAAATTCCAATAAATCACAATTTTCTTCATCTGTTCCATTCATACATTGTTGTTCGCCATCACAAATATTTCTCCAATCAAGACAAAGAAGTCCATAATCACATTTGAAAACAGTATTATAGCAAAGAATATCTCCATACCGTTGTATACCCCAACGATCTTGTTTTTTCTTTGCAAACTGAGATTTAATTGCATCTTCAAATGTTATTGTTTCGTGAAGTAATTCAAATTCACATCTTGGACCGAATGTTCCTTGTTGAGTACAATTACAAAGGAATTTATCATTAGAATCTGATTGATTATTGTAGTAAAAATGAGCATAATCATCTGCATATTCAATACTTGAACTCCATGTGAGAACTTCAGTAGGAGAGATATTTTGTTTAATAGCATCTGTATACAACCATTTTTCACCTCCATTAATACAATCGCTAAGAAGCTCATGTGCAACAGATGTAAAATTATTCCACCGAATGCAATATTTCATAGTCGAATTTGTTGATAAATATATGCAATAAGCATATTGTGTCGTATTACTTATCTCAGTATCATACAGAAGAATGTATGTATAAGCAGAAAAATGCAAACAGAACGTTTGTATTGTTAAAAATAGTAGTAAATTCATCTATAAATTGCAACAATGGAAGGTTCAAAATTATATTTAATTATTCAAGTGTGACATGATATTCTTTTAAATAACAAAAAAAAGATCTAAATTGCTCCTCAACTGACGGTTGAATCTTATATTAAAAGGTCTTCGAATGATATAATTGTTTTATTACTTACAGTTTTTAAAAAAAAGTGGAAATAAAATACGTAGAGATTACTAAAACTGTCAATACCTTGGAAACAATGACGTCTATTATCGTCACTCTCCTTAAATAATATCAGTCTTAATCATGCGCCTGACAAAAAGAATATGCTATTTATTCTGTAAAATAAAATATTGTTAAAGTTTAATACTAAAATCCGATTATTTTAACATGAAAAGCATACATTGACAAACATGTAAATGATCATATTTATTGCTTAATGAACGTGTCATTCATGACTTAGCAGCGCATGTATTCAAATATTGAAAGCATTTAGACTGGATCTTCTGAAAATAAATAGATCTCGATAAACTATCACAAACACGATTTTAACAGAAAAGCACATAGTCGAGTTCTTATATGATACTTAATTCACACAAAGGTCTCTATTATAAACTAGACTATCAATATCATCTTAGGATTTTCTGATGGCATGTCAAAAGATTAAATCTAAATGGTTCAAATATCTGAATGAATATAATTCATCGAATTCTTTTTGAAAGAAGCGTTCATTATTTGTAATACGTTTCTACACAAATATAGTGCTGGTTTCACTCACGTATACATCATAATGAATTTGATTACATTGAACAAAAGTATACTAGTCAGCACTAGAAAAAACTTTAACTATAGACATTATTTGACTTTTATGCAACCTGGCAGATAGTATTCAACAGTATAATTTTTATACGAAAATTTGTACGATGAGATATTTCCACCAAAAAAACGTTTTTTAAATCGTTAACAGTGTTTATTTGAAAAGAAAAAATAATTAAAAATAATGTTAGGCTTCAGTTTCATCTGCTGTCAATAAATTATTTGCATTTCTTTCATCACTGCATTCTTGATTTTGTGAGTTGTTTGATTGCACACTATCCGATCCTACAAGAAAAAATATCTTCAAAAATAATTTAAAATATAGTTCAATAACATACGTTGATTAATTCGTTGAATACAAAAATGTCTTGTATAATCATTATTATTATATATTTGATGCGAAGCTGCTTCTGGTTGTTGACAGAAATCTTCTAATATTATTGAATCAACAGGTGATGTAGCTCGATCTTCAATATTATTCTGTTGAATTACTGGTGTTGGACTGACTCCTATTAGTGCTGGACTAACTCTTGTCGATGCTGTTCTTTGTCCTATTTAAAATAATAATTTATAAAAGTATCTAGAAAAAAAATTGTATTCTATTTACCACGCCACATGAAAATATAATCCAATAAAATAGTTGAAATAACCGTACAACCAGCTGCAAAGATTGCTGACCAGTACCCTTAAACAAGAAAAATAATTTATATCAATTGAATTTATATCAATTTACCATAATCCAAAAATGAAGATCTAAATTTGAGATTATATAAACAATGAAAGGTAATTAAAACTTGTATTATAAAACAACAAATTTGAATCAAAAATAAAATGATTATAAAAAGTATTAAACATCGTTGATAACGATATTCAATTGCAAACATGCATACAATAACAATAAATATTGAAATCCATAAAATAAATAAAGTTGATATTTGAACAGTAATGATCAGTATTGAAAATAAATTTATATTTAAATCTAAAGAATAAATTCATTCTTTTGTTAAATATAAAAATCTCTTTCAAAATCACTTACTAAGAAATACAAAAAGAATAACCGATGAAACTATAAAAATAAATGATACAATCCAATTAATAAATGGCCACCAAAATCCACTTTGATCTATAATCATCATATATAAAATTATAACTAAAAAAATGATTTAAACTTACTTCGATGATGACATAAAAGATAGAGAATACCGGTTGATAGAAAGAAATAATGAACAATATTTATTAAATAAGTTAACCATAATAATGAACGTGTACATTTGCCATACGGTGCATAGAGATTTACTAGATCTGAATTATCGATATAACCAATTGAAACAAAATAATCAAACCAGAAGATTTTATAATCATCATTTGACGTATCTGTACAATTACTAGTCATTGAATAGAATTTCTTTTAAATGTCACTGAGTATGTAAGTATTACAGTTTTATGTTTATAGAAACAATGAAACGAGAAAAAGAAATACTAATCATTAATTTTTTTTCCGCGATTCTAACAACTTCATTATATATATATCATGACTCAAATCTTTACAAGAAAAGCTTACCAGGCACTGAATTCCATGGAAATAAAAATAACAAAATCAATCAATATATATTCTACCTCCATCTCAGTTAATTTCTAGACAAAAATACGATTTATTTCTTTTTTTTCTTGAATATTATGTAAAGATCTAGTTGCAGGCAGAAAAAAGCATTATAAATTATAGCTCATGGCATAATAGTTGATAGGCACTACACCAATAATTTGTCTACGTATAAATGGAGTTGATATTTTCAAGTGTAAATAAAACTTAAGAATATTAAAAAGGTTATATATATGAAATTCATTGATCATTCTTTTCCCTGGATTCATCAAATGAAAAAACAACAAAATTAGCACTCATTTTGCACTGAAAGAACAAGGAAGAAGAAAGTTCTAGTCTCTCTATTCATATAAGTCACGATAAGAATGACGATGTTTTCCGCAGTATCATTTGAATTGTGAGAATTATTTTATAGTGAGCATGTCTGTCCTTGAGATACCATCTAAATTCTACTTCATCGATTTGTATGTTTGAAATTTTATTTTATTATAATCGTAAGTGTGCACATTTTTTATATGACAATGAAGCCAGTACTTGAGTAAAGAACGATAAAAAAGAAAGCGTTTGTACGTAATAGAAACAATTTTGTCCATTAATTGTTTGTATTACAAGATAAAAAAAAAAGTAAAAGTTTCGTCAATTTTACTTATAAGGTCTCATCGAACAACATTTTGTACTGTTTTTTTTCTCGGTATGTTATATGTTGTATGATGAAGTAAATAAGTCATCATAATAAATCAGAAATCAAGAAAAAAAATCTTTGAATAGTCATGCTTTTATTTAAAATGATGTCATAGATATTGACGAAAAACTTGGTTATTCATTCTTGTTTTCTCGTTTTTAATATCCATATCAACCATATCACTGTGTTGATAATCGAATTATATATGTATATATGTTTTTTTGTATATATAGCTTTTTCCTGTCTACCTCGATCGTGTAACTTATAACGATCTGTTTGGTAGTAGCGCGTGTGCTCGCATGCTAGATATTATCTTTTATGCGATGTGCAGACTGCCGCGATCGGCATCATCATTGACATCATCCACTCGCATAAGAACGGGTACTGTTAGTAGCTCGTGTTACA